CAGACCTACTGCACACCACTTGGCAACCAACCATATCAACAGAGAGAAAATCAGTCAGAAAGCTACACTGTATTTTTTTTTAAAATGCCTAACTTTTTGGTGTTTACTACAGTGTTACTAGGGAGCTGCGGTGGCTCAAGTGGTTAAGACGTTGAACTGCAGGCTGTGAAAGGCCAGTAGTTCAGCAGTTCGAGACCCGGGTGCCGCATGATGGAGTGAGCTCCCGTCTCTAGTTCCAGCTCCTGCCAACCTAGCAGTTCGAAAGCAAGAAATTGCAAGTAGATAAATAGGTACCACTTCGGTGGGAAGGTAACAGCGTTCCGTGCACCTTGGTGTTTAGTCATGCCGGCCACATGACCACGGAAACGTCTTCGGACAGCGCTGGCTCTTTGGCTTTGAAACGGAGATGAGCACCGCAACTCTAGAGTCGGATTCGACTGGCTTTCAAGCAAGGGAACCTTTACCTTTACAGTGTTACTAGCGCTATTTCATGCACAATCATTTTTGCATAGCCTTGCAGGAGGCACAGTTTGATGACCTGTCCAACTATCAATGATTTTGAAAAGAATCGCCTTGCCTACTACACAGATATAAAAGCCTTCACAAGACAAGGAAATGAAATTCAACCACCACAGCTATAGCCCAGCTGCAAAGCTGTTCAACAGCTCACAGACAAACAGATCAGAGGTTTCACTCATGGCTGAGTATGGATGTCCAACACAGTATGTTTGCTGCAAATACGATATTCCTAAACATCCTAGAGAATTCTCAGCACCCTCTTCCTTACAAGTCCTAGGAGCCCCCTGGGAGAAACCACAGTAATTAAACTTATATGAAGCCAAAGTGTCTGCAGCAGCTTCACTAAGGGCAAACCAAGACACTGAAGAAAGTGTTTTCTAAGCAAGAGATCACTGAGATATATAGAGATAGCTATACAGATACAGATATAGATATCTCCTGCATGCAGAAGCATCCAAACCTTAGTATTCAAAGCCTTCAGAAATGCCTGGATGCATTTCTACACTTACTGGGAGTGGGGAGGCACAGAGAGATGCTACAAGGGTGCTTCTGGGTGCTTGGAACTTTGCATCCACATGCTAGATCAAGAATACCTTGCTACTGTTTACCAGATTCCAAGAAATGCTGGCTGGGTCTCAGCAGGCAGACGAGGATGCATTTGTTTACAGAGTAAACTTCTGCTGTAGCTAGAAGGCTAGGATGTTTCCAGCACCAACCTCTCATTTTTGGCCAGCTCAAAGCTGAAAAATTCTCCAAGTTTCTTCCAGCATTTAGTTTCCCCACCAGAGCACTATGGAAACGTCTAAGGCAATGACACTGTGCACTTAATACTGGGAAGACAGTTTTATACCCTCACTTTTCTGGGGGCTCCCTCCACAGATGCAACCACATACACAAGTGGCCGTTTCTACTGCACATGCATGACTAGAACTCCACATCGTAAGCCACTTGCGAGAAGCTCCCCAACGTGGCTCGTACCACCTCTTCCCTACAAGCCGGTTGGGCATTGTGATCGTAAATCAGTAGGCTGGATCACTGATCCTCAGCATAACTGTCAACACAAAGAGTGTTGTGTGTTCCTGTGTTATGCATACTGGGAGAGGCACAGAAACTGGTTGTATTTCCATCTCTTGGCCCAATTAAGTCAGATGAAGAAGAGCTCGGCCCTCTTTCAGGCAGAGCCGCCTCGCATTTTTGATAGACAAAGTGCCACCACACTTAAAACTGTATAACAATGCAATAAAGGCTACAGAACTGGTAAGAGTGCAAGCCACTACTCTATAAAACACTTCATTACACACAAAGCACTTCAGCTATGCGATGCAATCCTTACAATAATCCTGTATCACCTTCCCTATTGCAGGTAGAGGCTGAGAGAGAGAGTGCCTTATCCAAGGACACTAAAGGAAGGTGAGCCAAACTTTGCGTCAGGTTTCCCAGTCCACAGGCTGCAGCCTTCGGTAAGTTCCTTCAGTAGAAGACAGTCTCTTACATGGGATTTCCTAGATATGAGCAACAGAACATTTATCTGTGGGACTCACTGCAGAATGTGCTAGCAGTCAAGAACATAAAAAATATTTTTTAAAAAAAGAGAGAGAGAGGAAGACTTCACAAATTCGTGGAACATTAAAGTAACTATTAGCCAAGATAAAGAAACTATTAGCCAAGATTATGTAAGGGCGACCAACACACACATACACGCCGCACAACCTTTGAGCTTTGTTGTTAATATTGCTCCTGGATTCACAGCAAAAATGTCTATTTATACCCTCCTGTACAACAGACTCTGTGAATCCACAGTTTGTTATGCAAACACAATGGACAACAACCTCTTCTGTTGCCAGTGCACAATTCAGCACAGTTTCTATAAACTACAAGAGCAAATGGTTGTTCGTTAAGTTAGATGCTTAGAGGGGAAAATGTCCTGTGCCAACCTAGATCCATCCTCGTGCCAAGTGGGGTAGTAATGGGGCGTGCATCCTGCAAAGCCCCTAGAAGGAGTGCAACAGCACATTATACAGCCACTCAGGAGTCTTCTTGGTGGATAGATCACAGCACTGGGGGGGAGAGGGGGGCAAGGGAAGAGAGAGATGCAGCTCTTATTGCAGGGGTGTTCCCAATCCAGCATTCTGTTTTAAAAACAGCAAGTAACTTTCTTCCATGTAACAGAAAACCATCAAATCAGCATGGTACTTGGAAACACAGGTGTGTGTGTGGGGGGGGGGTCAGGGGTCAGCAAAGTTTTTCCAATTGCATCCTATTTATTTTGCCAGCCACTGCAACCTGAGTCTGTCTGCCCCTATCTGCATTAGCACACTCTCCATACTGCTTCCTGGGGCCAAACCCAACGATGCTAGAGGTTCCATGAATAGTGTTCCATTCCAAGAATGGCATTCCCCAGCAGATTTTTTTAAAAGCAGGCGTGTGGGGGCCTGATTTGCACTGAGACCATTGTGTGAGGGAGAGAGTGAAGTCCCCCCCCACGCTACTATTTTCCTTGAAATATCCCTGCAGAGCAGCTGTTTGTCTCACTGGGAAAATATATGGGTTTTGATGCTAAGTGCGATGGTCAAAACTCTTAACTGTATCAATCAATATACTTAAGTGTCCAAAGGTATTATTAACAGCTACTAAACTGGAGTCAACAAATGTTTCACAATCTGATCTTGCACCAAAGATTTCAAAACTGTGCTTATTATAAATTTCAAGGCTGCAGGCCTTTATATAGTAAGTGAAGGAAGTTGGTATATCTACAAATGAACTAACCATTCCACAGCTGGATCTGCAGAGAGAGATATTTGCTCATAAAAAGGCATGAGTTTTTCTTTAACCAAGAAGTGAATTGGAGCACAGAAGAACCAGGGAAGCTTTAAGTCACCAGCCTCTCAAGAAGAATTTGTTCTTGCTCTATTAAGAGAACAAAGCTACTATGATATGCAAGCATAAAAATCCTGCTTAGTGTTCATTTTTTTCCTACCCTTCCTTCCTCCTCATCCACTTCAAATAGTCTGATGACTGATTTCGATTGGATAATGCTATAAACCAATTTTGTAACATCTCCCTTTCTGTCTATAGCAGGAGTGTCAAACATATGGCCCGTGGGCCAGAACCAGCCCGTCTAGGGCTCTTATTCGGCCCGTGAACAACTGATTACCTTTACTGCCAGATGACAGAGGCTGTGCATTATGTCCCTGTATACTGTCCCAGTGCTAAACTGTAACAGGCAGTGGGAGGGTGAGTATCGGGGAAATACTGCAAGGAAATACTGTAAGAGGGTTTATGTTTTAAGAATATTTGTATTTTGAGTAAAAAATAATATTGTTAACTGGGCTTACATATTTCCTTTATAAAGTTTATATCCCCAGTACCTGACATTACATTTTATGGCACACGTGGCCTGGCCCGACAAACTGACATTTATGTCAGATCCAGCCCCAGTAGCAAATGAGTTTGACACCTCTGATCTACAGCTCTGAATAGAAATACTTCTGCCTAATAGATGCACACTTCATGCATGCGTCTGGTGAAGTGAGCAATGAGTCACAAAAGCTTAGGCAGGAAGAAATTTTTGCTGGTTTTCACTACACAAAATGGTCACAAGCAGTGATCGCCTCTGCTGAGTAAGATAACAAGTTTTTGGGCTTCCACATGGACTCCTCAATTTCAGAAAGTACTCTAGATTCACAGTGATGTCAGGAGGGGCTATATGACTATATGCACTATGCTGTGGCTCATCTTGCCCCCACTCCATTTTTAAATTTCAGGTGGTGGGGGGCGTGCTATCCATTTGTGGCTTGCAGCATCTAGAGCCCCATGCCTTTTGTTTAAGAGCTTAAACTACAGCTGACAAAATCCAGATGGCAACAAGTAAACCTCTAAATGGGTTAAACACCAGGGTTTAGATCCAGCTATAATGTTCACAGCAGTTACGCATACACAAGTGCCCATTTGAAGACCAGTCACACCATGTTCAACAGAGCCTACCCCTAAGTAAGAGGGCATGAGACTGCAGGCCTGCAGTGCAATCGCAAGTACCTTTCCTTGGAAGTAAATCCTACTCCAAAGGCACTTACTTCTAAGCAAAGAGCAGCCATTGGCTAAAGCTTTTGGACTGCTGAATAGTTAGTAGTGGCTTGTTCTAGGTATTGTTTAAGCCAGAATACTAGTAAATTATTTTCACATGCACACACCCATCCAAAGATCCATCTCAATTTAAAACAAAACAGAATGCAAAGTTTCATGCACTAATCCATAGCTATACACACTGTGAGGATTGGGCTACCCAAGCAGAAGTAGGCCTTCATCAACAAAGGAGACCCGGTACTCATTCAAAGAAACAGGCCTGACTGTATACAGACCAGCTCAAACTCAACTCGCACAATGAACAGGATGCAAGTGGAAAGTTACTAGCCCCACTATACTAGCGCCCACTGAATCCTTATTGCAAGGATTACAGTGCTAAACTGGGAGGCTTCCCTTACCTTTAACTTGAAGGGCTGGATCTCATTCAAACTCTGATTCCTGAGCTTCTTGGTAAGGATCTTGAGCATGGTACAAATCCAGGGAGCCAGGAAAGAGTTAAGCACACACTCACATCTGTGATAGCTGCTACTGCCACGCTTGGAGAAGCTCAGAATCGCTTGCATTCAGCAACTGTAGGTGCACGTCCAGCTTTTAGCTGGAGAGAGCCAAGAGCTACACAGAAATTCAATCCTCCTCCTCTGTTGCTCCTACAATATGTTTGGGGTTTTTTAAAAAAAATAATAATAACCCTCTTTTTAAACTTTTAATCGGAGATCAAAAACTGGCTTTTATGAGCTACAGAGGAAACTACGTTAACGGCTGACAGAACTCTCTTCTGCAAGGGGACAGAAGGCACCTGGTACGAGAAGAGTTCACGAAAAGATGGGAAAGCTCTCCAAACGGGAGGGAGGCCCAGAGCGCGGCTCCTCCGAACGCTCCAACTTTTATGCCATCTCTGCCCCGCTCCTCCCCACTGCTCACAGGCATAGCCCTCGCGCGGATCCCTTGCTCGGTCGCCCCCTCCCCTTCCCCCCCGGTCTCTGCCACACTCCTCCCCTCTCGCACACGCTCTCCCTTCTCCTGCCTTCTCGCAATGTGAAACTCGTAACAAACAGAGCACGCAGCCAAGACTCCGATTGGCCAGCCAAGGAGGACTGTGTCAATTTCAGTGGGCAGGGCTTCCATTTAAAGGGAAACCAAAAGGAGAGCAGGGTACTCCCTAACACTCGCCCTCACGCGCACACCCCGGAAAAGGTGGTGGATTCGGAGAAGCTGGAGTTCCGACCTGCTGTAGTTCCTTAAACCGGATTGCCTGTCCCCCAACATGCATCGGACCTTCAGACTGCCGACTACATTTTTGCCTGCCTCCTCCCTGGAGTTAAAAGCAGAATGTGTGGTTTTTCCCTCCTCCATTTTATTCTCACAACAACCCTGTGAGGTAGGTGAGGCTGACAGAGACAGACTGGTAGAACGTAGATTTGTATGGGGCTGCCCCCAGTGAACATCACTGTTTTAGGGACAGATTAGATTAACTATGCAGAAGCAACACAGTGACACCACCATTGCCCCTTTGGATCATCTATATTACCTCATATTTCGGCTGGCTCTTTTACAATGGTCTGCCATTGCCACTTGTGTCATTTTTTTTCACCGCAGTGACTGACAGAATACATGCCAAAGAGAATGACTAACAGATGAAATGACCTCTGCTCTGGGAATAAAAATTCATAACCTTTAATTAAAGAGATATATAACGATAGACTGAATGGTTTTTCACTCCTTTGTGCATTACGGCATCCCCTGAAAACTCCCTTCCCAGTCAATGAATTGCTCTATGTGTGTTCCATGTGCCAAATGTTTTTAACAGGCTCTGATCTATATGAAGTGACTTGATTTAATTGCATTAATAAGTAGCCTTGCTTAAGCAGAGCAGGGAATTTTCCATTTCCTGTTCTGCCTGTAGAAGTGCTTTGTGTGATGCCAAAGTTTGCAACCTTTGCTCCAACAGACGTTTGCATCCCTCTAACTGGCAGGCAAGGTGGGGACTGTTCCTGCCAATACCAAGCAAAAGCCAGTGTCAGGATGGTGCAAATGTAGGGCTGTGATCCAATGCAAGGTTACCTACTGAAGAGTAAGCTCCATAGAACTCTGTGGGACTTGTTCCCAAACAAACATGCATAGAATCAAACTGTAAAATGGTAAAACCAGAGGCAAGATCTCATTCCCCTCTCTCTAGGAGAGGATTCCATTCCAGTGGGAAAGACCTAGAGAATCTTGCCTATTGAATCACTCTTTGTTAGGGCTGCAGTCCAGCAAAAGGACTTCAGGCTGCAGTTTGACTCACAGAAATCCAATGTGTTGTAATGGTTAGAGTGCGGTCACACCTGCCAGATAACGCGGGGGGAGGCGAGGCTATTTGCTCCGTAGTAACTTGACCCGCCACTGCGTGATCAGACGCAACTGCTGGTGAATCGGGGGGGGGGGTCTTCACTGTGTGTTTCCAGTGCGCTTCAACGAGGGATCACTGACGCAATGGGAGCACGCTGGAGCGATCACACGGGGAAGTCCATCTGCAACCCATCACAAACCCGTTTAGTACTGCACTTTCCCCAGTGTTTTTTAACTCCGCTTCTTCGGCGGAGCAAAACGGGTTGCCGACGGGTGCAGGACACTTGCCAGATGTTCCCGTGTGATTACGCCCTTAAAATCCGCCCGGCATTCGTGCCTATCACGTGGCTAATTCTGAGTGTGATTGGGACCTTAGTGTGTCAAGCTGAAATCCCCACTCATATCACTACTCTCAAAATGGCTAACCTAACTTGTGGGGTTGTTAGAACTATAGAGTGGAGGAGGGAAGGCAAAGGGGGGGAAATGCACCATGGAGGGAAAGTGTGATTAAAATGTAATAGGTCTTTCTTTAGCAAACATGGGCAGTGTTTCTTTTATCCTAGCACTGTCTCTAGTCCAGTTTTTGTAGCACAACAAACTTTCTTATTGAAGAGCCAAAATACACACACACACACACACACGCACACACCCTGATGCTGTGGAATGCATGAGACTGCCTTATACTATGTCAGGCCATTCGTCTATCAAGGTCAATATTGTCTATTCTCACTGGTAATGGCTCTCCAGTGTCTCAGGTCTTCACATTCACTACCACCTGGATCCCTTTGACTGGAGATGCCAGGGATTGAACCTGGGACCTTCTGCATGCAAAGCGGATGTTCTACCACTGAGCCACAGCCCCTCCTAAGCAAGATGTGTAAGTCTGGTTGAAACTGTTGGGATTGCCTGCTGGATAGTGCCCAACAGCCAATGATAAGTAACAACTTCCCACCACCATCCCCAGTACAATTTTGGAACTGTTTTTAACGTGTCAGATTTTTTATGTATGCAAAAGGGTAGATACATATTTGTCCATATGTAAGAGGCCATTTCACGCTCGCAGCAGAGAGTGTTCTCTTCCTTTCCTTGCTGGAGTAAAACCAAGTGGACCAGAAGCTGCTGCTGCTAGTCTTTTTTCACCTTTCACTTACTTGTATAGGGCAAAGGAAAGTAATCGTTCCTAGGAATTCAGAACAAATAGGCCTTTTTTCCTCCCTGGAAGTGAGAGTCCCCCAACCCCTTCACAGCAGCAGTAAAAGGAAAACTTGAAGAAACTCCCAACAGGATTTTCAAATGAAAGGCCACAAATCATACAAAAATTAAAGTCAGCTACCACAGCTACTGCCTAGCCACAAAGCTGTTCGATGCACTGATGAAGTTGGAGAGTGGGGAGAGAAGGCAATCTGATGCTCAGGTCACACAAATGGAAAGCATCATGTTCACCTGCTACACATGTTCAGCCCAAAGTTCTCAGTATCCCTTATTATTCCAGCCTTGGCTGTCTGTGAGTTCCATCGACACACACTGCCTCTGGACATCCTCTCTTGAGTTGGCAAAAAGGAATAGCTATTTTCACTGGGTTATTTGTAGGGATGCCAGCCTCCAGGTGGGACCTGGGGATCCCCTGGAATTACAGCTGATCTCCAGACTACAGTTGCCCTGGAGAAAATGGATGTTTTGGAGGGTGGACTCTATGGCATTATATTCCACTGAGGTCCCTTTCCCCCCGGGCTACATCCCTAAATCTCTAGGAGCTTCCCAACCTGGATCTAGCAACCCTAGGCCCAAAGAGGACCTGGCAATCCTAGTTATTTGACATATGCTTTTCAGGTGGCTTTTACCTACCTGGTAGCATGTACATAAAAATGAATGGAACATTCAACAGAAGTACAGTGTCCAGATCACGTGAAGTGATGGTATCACTTTATTCTGCTCTGGTTAGACCTTAGAGAGCCAGTTTGGTGTAGTGGTTAAGTGTGCGGACTCTAATCTGGGAGAACCAGGTTTGATTCCCCACTCCTCCATTTGCACCTGCTGATGTGACCTTGGGTCAGTCACAAGCGCTGGCACAGCTGTCCTTGAAAAAGAGCAGTTTGTGTCAGAGCTCTCTCAGCCCCACCCACCTCACAGGGTGTCTGTTGTGGGGAGGGAAAGGAGTTTGTAAGCCACTCTGAGACTCCAAGTGAAGGGCGGGGTATAAATCCAATCTCTTCTTCTCTTCACCCAGAATATTGTGTTTAGTTTTGGGCACCACAGTTTAAGAAGGATATAGACAAGCTGGAACATGTCCAAAGGAGGGCAACAATGATGGTGAGGGGTCTGGAGAACAAGTCCTATAAGGAAAGGTTGAAGGACCTGGGTATGTTTAGCCTGGAGAGGAGACGACTGAGAGGTGATATGGTAATCATCTTCAAGTACTTGAAGGGCTGTCATATAGAGGATGGTGTGGAGTTGTTTTCTGTTGCCCCAGAAGGTCGGACCGGAACCAATGGGTTGAAATTAAATCAGAAGAGTTTTCGACTAAACATTAGGAAGAACTTCCTGACAGTTAGAGCAGTTCCTCAGTGGATCAGGCTTCCTCAGGTGGTGGTGTACTTTCCTTCTTTGGAGGTTTTCAAACAGAGGCTAGATGGCCATCTGACAGCAATGCTGATTCTATGAACGTAGGCAGATTATGAGAAGGGAGGGCAGGAAGGGTTGCATCAGTGCTTAGTTCTTGTGGCTCTTTCTGACATGCCCAGGGAAATGCTGATCACTGCATTGGGGTCAGGAACACTGTTCCCTCTAAGGTGAGTTAGTGTGCCCTAGCTCACAGTTTTTTAGCCTCCAGCTAACACATTTTTGTCTTAGCTCAGGAAGGATGGCTCCAGAGCAAACTAGTTTATGCAGCAGCCAAATCGCCTGCTCACAACTTTAATTCCAGTAGCTCACAAAGTATAATTTTTCCTCACAAGACTTCGTTACGGGGGGGGGGGGTATTTGTGTATTTCCTGCATTGTGCTGGGGGTTGGACTAGATGACCCTGGAAGTCCCTTCCAACTCTATGATTCTATGAAGCATCTAGCACCCAGAATTCACCATGTCACACATTTATTTATTTTAACACTGTTGATCCTGCATTCTCAGCTTTAATGGCCCCTCAGGCAACCCACAAAGAAGAAAAAGTTGGATTTATACCCCACCCGTCACTCGGAGTCTCAGAGCGGCTTACAATCGCCTTCCCTTCCTCTCCCCACAACAGACACTCTGTGAGGTAGGTGGAGTCGCGCTGCAGCAGTGGCACAATCTTTCCATTGTATTCTGTGGGGCCACAGGATACAACAGGAGATCGTGCTGCTGCTGTGGCACAACTCTAGAGAGAAGGAGTTTAAACTTAAAACCCCTTCTCTTTTCGCTTCTTCCGTAAGCCCGCTGGGGGTGGGGCTTGCCGCCACCACCATTTGTGCCCGCTCCTGGGCTGCCAGACTCACTGCTCCGGCTTGCTCCAGCCCCAAATGACCCCTGGGGCTGAGAGAGCTCTGAGAGAACTGCTCTTGAGAGAACAGCTCTGAGAGAACTTTGACTGACCCAAGGTCACCCAGCAGCTGAATGTGGAGAAAAGGGGAATCAAACCCAGTTCTCCAGATTAG